TCTACTTGCATGTCGTGTGAATTCTTTATCCCAATTTAATAATAAAAATAAAAATAAAAATTTCACCAGTTGGGGACCTCAACCACCTCATCTCTGCCACCATGAGTGGAGTCACCTGCTGCCTCCGATTCCCGGGCCAACTCAACTCCGACCTCCGAAAACTTGCAGTCAACCTCATCCCCTTTCCACGCCTACATTTCTTCATGGTCGGTTTTGCCCCCCTCACATCCCGCGGCTCTCAGCAATACCGAGCCCTGACAGTTCCCGAGCTCACCCAACAGATGTGGGACGCAAAGAACATGATGTGTGCAGCCGACCCACGTCACGGCCGCTATTTAACTGCCTCTGCCATGTTCCGTGGTAAGATGAGCACGAAAGAGGTGGATGAACAGATGATCAATGTCCAGAACAAGAACTCGTCCTACTTTGTTGAGTGGATTCCGAACAATGTGAAGTCGACTGTGTGTGATATTCCGCCGACTGGGCTGAAGATGGCGTCGACCTTCATTGGGAACTCGACTTCGATTCAGGAGATGTTTAGGAGGGTGAGTGAGCAGTTCACGGCTATGTTTAGGAGGAAGGCTTTCTTGCACTGGTACACTGGGGAAGGTATGGATGAGATGGAGTTTACGGAGGCTGAGAGCAATATGAATGATTTGGTGTCTGAGTATCAACAGTACCAGGATGCGACTGCTGATGAGGAAGAGTATGGGTACGAGGATGATGATGAGGAGGAGATTCGGGAGGAGGAGGCTTGAATGTTGCTTTCATCTTGAGATTGTGGTTCTTTTTATCATTCCAGTGTTAGTTTTTTTTTTTGGGTGGTGTTATGGGTATTTTGTGTTGAAATTGGCTTTGCCTGCTTGGCAAAATGTGTGATTTTTTTTGTTATGGATTCTGTGATATTAGGCTGCTTATGTGATCATTTTTATTTTTCAGGTGCCAATGAAAATTGTAGGGGTTAATTTTGTGTTGTGGTTGATTTCGATGAATGAATATAAATTGCCGGAGTGTATGTAACTGCTGAAGGCAACGAAAGTTGCAACGATTTGGGTCATATTAGTGTCATTGCATTCAATTTTAACCCGTAGGTATTGCACCGTCAGGTCGCACATGCATATGCAGACTTTTGTGGGTGTAGGGTTAATACTAAGGTCCCGTTACGGTATGTTTTAACTGTTGGATCACATGTAGTTTGTATAAGATAGATAATCTAACGGTTTAAACACTTGACGGGATGATACCGTAACGGGACCATAGTTTTATGCTAACAGAATCAGAATATCCCCCTTTTTTTTTATTATCACATTAACGAGGAAAGTATGTATTAGACAAGTTCCAGCTTGTCTTTTCAACTTATATGCAACTGCTAATTGATGCAAATACAATAAAGGAGAAATACTCACATGTCCATGGTGGACACATGTTAATATGTCCACTGTTTATGTGGCATGCACACATTGATGATGTATTTTTTTTAATATATTAATATCACCAATGTGTGCATGCCACATAAGCGGTGGACATATTAACATGTGCCTACCATGGACATGTGAGCATTTTCATACAATACAAATATAACCCAATATCGGGCTGGTTTCTTTTCATACGATTTGCATTCTGTATGGGCCGAAATAGGCCAGGGTATGGCATTATCAAAAATTATATTTTTGAGGGAGTTTAAAAATAAAAAATAAAAAAAATTGGACTTTAGCTTTGTTGACATATTCATAGTCAAAATATCAATTAAATTGAAAATTTTTAATTAGAAAATGATATATTAACTTATAATATATCAATTAAATTTTCTTTAATTACCTTGACGAAAGAACATGGCAGGATGCAGGACGGCCCGCCAAGGCAGCATGGGCTACGGCCCAGGGTCCAATTACAAGGAGGGGCACCATCCGCCAGCCCATGTACAATATATATATGGGAAATTTACATCCTTGCATAACCTCCCCTTAAATATTTGCATAGATACTATTCTGTAAGAATATTTGCACTAGTACGAAACGATGCAACATAAAGTATGGGAATACCAGCTAAATAAATGGTCGCAAAATATGACAACTAAACCTCTGTCTTTCGTCAGTTACGGGAAGAGTTATAACAAAATAATTCAAGGATATTCTCTCACATGGTAAGTACCAAACTCACAATTCACGTAAAATTAGCTTGCGAACAAATAGGGAATTTTATTTTGAATTCAAAACAAGGTCGATCGGTATCGTTGTTCTGTTATTTCTGGTCATATCCACTAGGCGAAAAATTATTTAGTAATCTGAAAAAGGATTGTGAATTTGAATTAAAAGACAGGTTGACCGAAAATAAGAAAACTGTATATGTTTAGTAATCTAAAAATTGTATATGTTTAGTTTATATAACGTATATATTATATTATCCACAATGAATCTGAAAATTGTATATGTTTCGTAATCTGAAAACTGTATAGGTTTAGTTTATATAACGTGTATATTATTATCCATCGGTGGAATTTTATGGACGTCGCGGGAATATGTTGGAGCGGGCTTTTATTCGTCACCTTTATTCCAATTTTTATTTTAGCTATTGACCTTCGATTTGTTGTAGAATATCAAGCTTTTTCGGGACGATTTTTCGATCGACATTAGACTTTATTTGTCGGAGACGAGAATTAGATCTCAATTTTGGTACATCTCTATCACCGCCAGGTAGACTGCTACCGACGATGTGCAGGGGGGTCGACGCCAGACATTTTTGTTGTAGTGTTTTTTCAGAGACGAACAATAAAAGAGGGAAAAAAAAATGACCGATGGATAAAGACGGAGTGAGAAGTAAAGTAAGTTAATGGAGGTAGTTGCGGGCATGGAGGATTTCTGATTAGAAAAAAAAAAGCGTGTATGTTAATGGTTATGGAGATTACATTTAGAATCCCAATAAATTAGAAAGTTACCATATAAAAATCACATCTTTTTAGTAATTATCTTGGAGAAACGGTTGTAATTGTATCTCGTATGTGCTATTATTTTTACCGATTTGAAATGTTTGCAAATAAATTATTTTGTTAGTATATGTGCAATATTTCTTTGTTTAGTTTGTATAAAGTCTAATTTTCTCTATATATATACACATACATAGTATATAATATACATAACTAATGTATGTGTAAAGTAGTGTAAAGTGTATTTATTGAACACATTTGACCACCCCATAAATAACCTTTAAAAATGATAAAAATTAAAATAATAACACCAAACTAATCATTCCCCTCTTCATTTGTTCACCTTCCTCATTTTCTGCCGTTCCCCAAACTTCTAACGGTAAGTAAATTAATTTTTACACATTATACATGACCCTTTCAATCTTTGTTTTCCTTATTCACCATTGTTCCTTTTTTTTATTATTTTTTTTCTCTCTCTCTAAATCAATTGTTCATTCATTAGCAAAATTGTTAATCATCACTTCCAACAATTTTTTTATAGATTCATAAATTTTTTCTTTATTTTGAGAACAATTGACCTATTCTAATAGTTTATGTTCTTATCGAATTGGAAAAAAATGGACAAACAATGAATCATTGACCTCACAACATAGCAGAAAATTTGAAAGGGTAAGAACTACATATCAATTTTGAGTTTTTCCTTTAACTTATTTTTGTATTTATCCTTTCAAAAAGAAATTAAATTTACTGTAGCTTGTTTGAAGATTGAAAATTGGAGCTTATGAATTTAGCATAGCTGCAAACTTGAATTTTGGAAATTAGGGCTTATAAATTTATTTAGTTATTTCAATGTTTGGGTTTGAAGAAGTCTGTGAGTATTGTGCTATGAATGAATGGGGTTTTACAGGTTAACTATCTATTCTATGCATCAAAAATAATATTACTAAAATAATATTTTATTTAGAAGGGATTGTGTTTTTGGTATTTGCTAAATTGTTTACAAAATTAAATTTTGAAAAACATGTGTGTATATTTTGTAAAATTTATACACTATTTAATTTTAAATTAATTTACATATTTTGAATTGATTACATAAATAAAAAATACTAACGTTCTTTAAATTTTTTTCATTACATAAAATTAAAAGAAAAAGAAGACGTACAACTTCTATAACTTTTATGGATAATAATAACATTATATGACAACAAAGTTTATAATAAAATAATAATTAAGTATTTATATGGTGAACAAGAATAAGTAAAACTGTTCGTAGATAATTGAGTTTTGGCATTAAAACGAAGAACTCTAAAATGGTGCGTTGAACCTTCATCAGATGAATCTGCGGGCAGGAATATTTAAGGGAAGTATGCTTTACATTATTTTGAATTAATTACTAGTTAATGGAAATTAACTAATAATTTTGTTATTTGTGCAAGACTAACAAAGGGGATTTCATATGCACTTTCCTTATTATAAAGATTTGGCCACATGAGAAAGACATTCCATAATTAGAGGCGGCAGAATCAATCAAGAGAACTTGTAATATCCCATTCAGTAATTAATAAAAGTAATTATTTTAGTTCTAAGTTTGAACTAATTACTTTTATTAATAATGCTCGTTCCTAGTTTCAAGCGCAGTTATTAAGTTATTCAGTTAAAAGTTCGACTTTAAGTTGAAAGTATTCTCGGTCAAATTTTATTTAGTAATCGAGCCAGTTCAGTAATTAATTAATTCCGGTTTGTTTATTTTTATAAATGGATTTATAAGATGGGATTAATTATAATAAGATGACGAATAATAAAAATCGAGTATATTTTGATTACTCGTTCAAGATAAGTTGTGAACCGAACCAAGCATGTTCGGTTACGAGTTAAGATTATTACCTAGCAAATGATTCTCGAGCCTAGCTTAGTTTTGAGTATTGATCAAGTTATAAAGATTAATTAGACATTAATGTTTATTGAAGTGAAATAAGTTATTTAAGATGAAGTTCAAGTTCAAGTAACATTCCATTTTATTTAGCTAAATGGATGTAAATTTGGCCATTTCTAGTTTGAATGAGAAAAAAAAAGAATAATGAGTCGAGACAAGTTAGGTCTCGAGTTCGGTTAAGTATCCATGAACATTTAAGTTATAAATGTTCAAAGAAGTGAGAAAATTTATTTAGACATTTTAGTCTATTTAAATTATTAGAGAGAAATATGAAATTTTTAGAATTTTCGTTTTTTTTCGGTTTTCGATTGTAGTCGGAATATATGATAATACACTAAATCAAATACTCAAGTATGCAAATTAAGTCACAAAATAATACAAGATTTCTCACATATCAGGTATGCGGGATACAAGGGAGTCGTGGCACGCTGGCCGAATTTAGAAGGCAGGGCCCGACTTTATCTCCGGCCGAGCATGAAGAAATTCGAGTCGGCACACACGACGCTTGAGATCTGTTCGTGGACTCGGTTTCAGCCGGGTTTTTTGAACAGGCAAATCGTCACGCTTTTGTCGGCTTTGGAAGTTAAGGACAACGTGTTCTGGGAAATGCAGGAGAAAATGGTCTCGGGGCTTGATAGAATACTCGAGGACACGGATACGGCTTACGATGTTCTCAGTGGTTCGTGTTCCGATCAGGGGAATACGGCTGCTATAATGCTAAGCGCCGGATTCCGGCCACAAACCGAGCCTCACCTTCGGGGGATGCTGACGAGCATTCGTACAGCTCAGCTCGGGGACCTGAGGGAGAAAGCGAGAATATTTGTTCCTTCCGGAAGGTGGCTGATGGGGTGTCTGGACGAGAGTCGGGTACTCGAACACGGGCAGTGTTTTGTCCAGGTGTCGACACCTTGTTTGGAGAATTGTTTTGTGGGCCATGGGCCGGAGTTCTCGGGGTATGATAGGAAAATGCAGGTGGTTAGAGGACTTGTGGCTATAGCAAAGAATCCTTGCCTTCACCCGGGGGATGTGAGAATTCTGGAGGCAGTCGATGCGCCGGAGCTGCATCATTTATACGACTGCCTTGTTTTTCCGCAGAAGGGTGAAAGGCCCCACCCGAATGAAGCTTCGGGGAGTGATTTGGACGGGGATTTGTATTTTGTGACGTGGGATCAGAATCTTATTCCTCCGAGTAAAAGGAGCTGGACGCCTATGGAGTATGCTCCTGGCGAGGAAAAAAAACTGCCGCGTGACGTGAAGCATTCGGTAAAATCGTACGCCTTGTGTATATCTTTCTTGAAAATGCTTGTATGTTGATTTAAT